TAAATATTAAAAAAGTGATAATTACAAATAACAACTTTAAAATTCATATGAACTCATATATAATTGGTACTTAATGAAAACTGACCCAATTTCGTTACCTATAATAGTTTCTATAACTAAGTGCATAGAGCTACCCTGTGGAGTTGCTGTTGTTGCTGTTATTATTGCTCCTAAGGTCTCTAAGTATTTAAGCCATGTTGACAAAAGTGGTCAAACAAATGGGTCTCCAAAGCGTGATTAGCGCATAACTTTACTAAAGCTTATTGTGCAATGTTTATATATATATAAAGAGAGTACATAAAGGATGTTTGTGTTGGATGTTCTTGTTGCTGCTGTTGCACTGAAAATGCCAATAAAAGTCAATTACATGCTTGCAATTTGCTAATGTAAATTAATTAGCAGCTGTAACCCCAGAGTCGGTTGCTGCGGTGACTAGTTCATTAAGCGTCAAAACTTTTTTTATTTTTATTTATTTATTTCGTTTTTTTTTTTGCGTGCTGGTAAAAGTTGCAGCTGTGCACAGAAATAAAAAAAGTTGTACATTGAATTTAGTTTTGTGGACAGGAAAAAAGCGAGAAAAATAACGAGAAAAACAACTCATTAGCGCGGGTCAAAGGTACAAATCACAACAACAATAGCAACAATGACAAAAATGTATACGACACGTGGGCCGAATGAAATGCAAATAATAAACAGGCCTTTGTGCTTGAAAGGGTTAAAGACTTGAACAACTTGATTGTTGTTCTTACACTTGTTATTGTTGTAGTTATTGTTATTGTTGTTGCTGTTTCGAGTGACACTTGCGCAATTTCGACAGGTGCTAAGAAAGCATAAGACAACACTTTGCACAAAAGCACTGAAAGAAAACAAAGACAACAGCAGCAGCAGCAGCAATGGCAATGGCAGCGGAAAAGCCGAAAAAACATCAACGAAAATCCTGCCATGGCAGTTGCCAAAGAAAAGCGGAAAAAGGAAAAGTTCGTTGAACAACAATTACAATGAGAGCTTGTGGCTTGCCCAAGCGGACATTGTTCCAGCTGTCGCATTGTTCCTCTAGCAGCAGCAAAAAGAATACAATAACAACAATAATAATAATGATGATGATGATGATGATGATGATATTAAGAATAGCAATGATAATAATAATAGTAACAAGCGTGTCGCACAATGACAGATTTGTCAACCGTTTTTTCTTTACGCCGCTCAGACGCAACACGTGCGACTATAAATCGCAACGGAAATAGTTGCTGTAGCAGCGGCAACATCTACCAGCAACTGACAGCAATACAAATTTTTTGCAAATTAGTTGCACTTTAGTATTATTTGGTGCAGAACAACAAGAACAAAAATGGCGCGAGTCGCAGCTGCATGACAAATTAGCAGCATAATAAAGTGCTCCACTCTCGGGTATTATAAGAAAAATATGCAGGATTTATTTTTGCGAATTTCTGTTAACATAAAATATAAGCGCACTTGCCTGGATGATACCCTATAAAAAAATTAAATGGAAATAAATAATTTATTTACAATATAAATAAGCTTTGTTGCCTAGGCAAATGGGCAGTTGATAAAGAGATGCTCTGAGTGTTTTAGTACAGCAGATACCCTATACAAAATTTACATTTCTCTGTGACTAAACTGTAGCCTAGCAGATACCCTGTAAACAGCTTTATATATATATAGATATATATATATAGATAGAGAATATTCATTTTGCACTTAGCTCATTTTTATATCATTGAAATATGCATACCCTTTTCATCTTTTTGTAGGGTATGCATTGGGATAACTTTCCAGACAGATAAAACTGAAAAGTCCTTAGGGCTGCTTATATTTGCACTCTTAACCTACAGAAGGCAATTTGTCTTTGCCTCATAGTCTACTTCACATACCTTTAGATATGTTTATAAATACCCTTTAGATAACCTTATAAATAACTTTAAAATAGACCTTCGCTATTTTATTTGTTTTTATTTTGTATTAAAAACGCCTTAGAATATATTTTATGCTATTATTACATAATTACGGGGTATCTGAATTAATAGCTTTCTTTTATATCTATCCTTGAGCATACCCTCTTGCTATGATTACAGAGTATCAGCATGAATAACTGCCTATAAAAGTCGTATTACAGACATAATTCAGTTTTACTTAAGTTTTTAGCCTTTTTGTAGCTAAATTCATTTCAACTACTTTTATACTATTTATAGGGTATTATAGAGTGCATAACTGTCTATAGAAAGTTAAATTCCATAGTCTTAATTTCCAGTAAAATCGTCTATTAAATATTTTTGCTCATTAAGGCCAGGTAACAAATTTTATATACAGGAGACATGCCCGCTTGCCATGCTTACAGGGTATCATTATGCAAAACAAGCACGCATGTGTGCAGCTCTCGAAATCCAGCTCTATTTCTGTTGCTCTTGCTGTTTGCCAAGGCAGACTCAATTGCTGTGCATTGACACCACATGTGACTGTGTGTGTGTGTGTGACTGTGAGTATGTTGTGCTTCACACACTGGCACACACGCACAACCAGTTTGCGGCAGTCCGCAGTCGTTAGTTGTGAGTCGATTTGCTTTTTTCTAGTGCGTCGTTTTTGTTGCATTTTTTTCAAGTTTGCTACAGTTGGCTGCCTGGCAATTGTTTTGGCCCAAAAGTATGCTACTTGTTTGTGATTTCACAAAAGCACATGACCACCCACACGCTGGCACATACACACATACACACACTTGCGTATGTGTTGGCTGCAAAAACCGCATAAAGCTCAAAAAACAGCAACGACTACGACTACGACAACGACAACGACATGCAAGTGAACAGCCGTCCGCAGTTGTCGACGTTGGAAGTTGCCAACGCAACCGCAATACAACAGCAACAACAACAACTGTAACAACACAGCAACAACATTATTAACAACAACAACAACAAAGTCGTGTATACAAAAGTTTGACAAAGTTGCAGGCAGTCAGTTTATACCCACACGCCCCCAACAAACGCCCATAAATACACACACAAACGCGCTCTCTCCCACGTTCCCTCGCACACACCCACAAAGCCCTACAGATTTCATTATAAGCATCGTTTATATGTATTGTTGTTAAATATTAATTAAAATATCTGCATTTGTTGTTTTTACAACATATCTGTTTTTGCGTAGCTGTAAATTGTGTGCGCACTACTTGTACTCTATTTGGGGTAAAAAGCCAAACTAGAACATTGTTTAAGACACAATTATTGGTATGGATATTTCTTATGTGGTTTTACCTAATGAGAAATAGACAAGAAATGGGAAAGATACAACAGATGTATGCCCTAGACTGAAGTTCTAATAAATGCTATACCTAGAGCAAGAAAAGATGGCTTTAATATAGAAAATTCTAAAGTTTTGTCGGCGTTATACAACACTGGCAGTTGTTAGACTAAGCTAAGTAACAAATGCTTACTTTTCTATATACATTTTTATAGCCGGCATCTACAAAATGGCGTTTCTTTTTAATCAAATTTAAATCTAGCTTAAATTACAAAAATATAACGTTGTACAACACTGGTATTTGTTTTGCTGATACTTAAGCTTTGCTTATATGTAAGCATATTGATTCTTTAAGTTAAAGATAATTTAGATTAAAAAATTGATATTCCTTTCGTGTATTCATTAAGAATATTGAAATTTAAAGTCATTATACAACACTGGCTTCTTTAAAAGTGAATTCGCACTGATTAAAAAGTCTAATAGTAAGACCATATCCACTCAATTTGCTTTTCCATACTCAATTCTAAAATGCATATGTGTGTTTTATGTGATGCTTTACTTGAGAGCATTTTACAACACTGTTATTTGTTAGTTGACATATATGCTACGCGTTTTCTACGTTTCCACTTCTTTTTTCCTAGTTTTTTGAGAGTATAAATGAGTTTTGTTAGTTCTTTTTATAGAAATATATTTAGTGTACAACATTATCCAACACTGTTTACTTAAAAAGAACTGGTCTACGTATACTTTAATTACTTGCATTTCGATAGAACATACAAGCTTCGCCATTTGTCCTTCACAATTTATTATGCCTTTGCTTCGGTGCGTGCATGTGTGCGTGTATGTGTAAATGTATCTGCTGTTGTGTCACATGTTTTATTGGACAGCATTGCACAGCACTGGCAGGCAAAACAACAGAAAGAAAGAAATGCAAAAACTGTGAAACAAGAACACTTCCGGTTTAGGTTACAAGCTGTGGACTCAAAACCACAAGCAGCTGGGCAGCTGTGCAGCTGAGCTGATTTTTTGCTGATGATTTGTTGGTTGTTTGCGAATCAATTTGAAATATTTGCAAATATTTTTGTTTTATATTTTGTGTATTTTATTTATTCATTTATATATTTATTAAGTATTTTTTATTAAGCTTACAGAATAGCATACATAACTTTTAGTTTTGCGTATTATTTAAGTTTATTTAACTAAAATTACATTTTGTGTTGCGTCTTGTTGTTGTTGTTTTTGCCAAAATATGATTGCGTTTGCTTTCGCATTTCGCAGCCAATTTGCTTAACTTTATTTTGTTGTTGTTTGCGGCACGTAGAAAATATTATAATGCAAATAAAATAAATGCAAGCCAAAAGAACAAAAAAGAACAGAAATTCAAAATTATTTGTTGCAGCAAATTGCAAACATTTATAAAAAAAATAATATGAATATATGTATGTATATATATTTATATATTTGAGTAGCAAAAGTAAATCTTTTTTTAGTATTTTCGGCATTTTTGTAGAATTATATTTCAAGTATTTCTCTTTTTAATATTATTTTGCTGCACATCAATCTCGTATCGTTTGAGTGGCTGGGACGCGGGATTAAGGCACAGCAATCGGCATTAATCATAAAATTAACTTAATTGCATGCAAATTGAATTTACTATTTAATTTGCTTTGACGCCTCTATTTCTGGAGGAGAAAGGCTTTAACAACATTTTTTATTTATCTGTATTTTGGCTTACTTAAGGCTGGCTGGGGGGAAGGGGCATTTTATTTGTTCATGGCAGCAGACGTGGATTGAAGCGACCCATGAAGAGTATCATGCCCGTTGGATTGTGGCGCACAAAGTAGAGGAAGGGCTTATCGAAGCGCAATCTTGGCGCATCTGGAACACGTGCTTGACGTGGACGTAGCGGCAACGGCAGCTCCAAATACTTGGGATCCAGTAAGTCGTCGTAGAAGCCACGACCCAAAGCCGATTCTTGGACCAGCGAACCAAAGTCAACAACTGCCTCAGACGAATCGTACGCATCGTCGTCTGTGGCATCCACATCCTTGTTGCGTTTGCGTAGAGGCGGCGCTGGATACATTTCTACATGATGATGATCCGAGATCTTCTCCTCGCCACAGGTGCTGAACGTGTTTATCTGTATCATGTCGGAGAGGAAGATATCGCGATTACCGTTTCCTGTGAGCCCGCGCAAGTCAGCAAAGTCTGATTTGAAGAGACCCTTCAGGCCCATCTTCTGCAGTCCCAGCGAGGCATTGACGAAGGAACGATGCGAGAAGCGGGGCAGTTGTACCTCCATGCCGGGGCGATCCATTAGCGATGTCATCAGATTGCTCCACGCATTATCCTGTCCAAAGGCCAACTCAACCAGATTGCGTTCCAAGCGATCTAAGTTATCTGTGGGCGACACCGAACTCTGATGTCCCGGCATTACATAGATGGTGCTCACCGTATCCTGTATGCGTCCAAAGGCTACAACAGTAGCATCCAGTTTAGGCTCATAGCCCGCTGTGAAGCCGGAGCGATAGAGCACCGCGGGTATGGGCACCAGACGACGTTGACGCACCGTCGGATGTACCTGGAAGAACATCTCACCATCTCGATCCGTTGTCGAACCTCGCGTGCAATCTGTCTGGAAGAGATTGGCTGAAACCGTGGCCAATGGCCCGTTCACCCAGACGCTGTTCGTGCGCAAATACTCCAAGACCTTGCCCATGGTATGCCGTTTCACGAGTAGATTCGTGCGACGTCTTACAATATCGTTGACCACATGGAAATTAACCTCTTCCACGTGTCCGCCGTACAGTTGTTGGGTCTTCTCCTTGAAGAAGGGCAGAATTTTGCCGTTCGCACGATCGCTAAAGATTTCGCGCACAAACGCAGCCGTTGCAATATCTTGCTCCAAGGATTGCTCCACCGAGTTGGTGATGTTACGGAAAATCAAATGTGGATTAAAGGTGACCATATCGTCGAGCTTAAGTATTTCATTCATTTCACCCGAGGTGCTGCCGCGTGCCCCAAGGAACACCATGGACAACATTGAAGTCAGCGCGAATGGTGAAATGACCAAACTCCGAGCTGAGCTAATCTTCTCCGAGGTTATGGATTTCCAGTAGCTAAACGCCAATTCATTGCAAAGTCGTGCAAAGGACAAAACATCGTCATCTAGTCGCGAGGTGGAGGCCTCCAAGCCCTGAGAGCTCTGTGGACTAGGCTCGAGTTTAACGGGCGGTCGCGTTGCTTGCGTGGATGCAGCCATTAAATTTGTCAGCGAAGCGGGTCGGTGCATGGGTCGCTGCTGTTGCTGCGATGGTGACAGCAACTGTTGCTGCTGTGCCAAGCTGTTGCTGTTGGCATTATAGGCGAGCAGCTTAGGTGGCTGTGGTTCCAATTGATTGTAGCCACCGAGCAGTGAAGGCTGCACATAATATGAAACGGGTTTCAGTGTCTGTAGTCGCTTGGTTGTTGTTGTTGTGGGCGATGCTGTGGTTGTTGTTGTTGTCGTCGTGGTGGATGTAGTGGAACTGCTGCTGCTGCTAGGTAGGAGTATGGGCAGCTGATAACTATTTTGATCTTCATCATCCTCCTCATCAGCTTGCTGATTTCCATAGCTAGCTAGAGGCAAGGTGACCTTGTAGTTCTGCTCCTGCTCGGAGTCCCCTTCCAGTTCCAGTTCCTGCACCTTTTCGTTTTCCTGTACCAAAGGCTGTGCCATCTGATAGTTCTGCTGTTGCTGTGTCTTCTCTACCTTCTCTGTAGACTGCTCCTCTGGTTGCTTCTCGTCCACATTAGCCAACTGCTGTGGCCTTACCACACTGGCCGTCGTCTCGCCCAACTTTACATAGGGATCCTCATCATCCAGCTGATATTTCTCTGCACTTGTATCCTCTTCGGTTAGAGTGGCTGTCAGCTCATCGGATATATCCTCCAGTGCCTCCTCGTTCAGTTCCATGGTACGCACAGTGCTTAGCTCTAGTTTTTCGGTGACCTGCTCAGAGCTGAGCGACATATCCGATTCAGATGAGACGACGGACATATCACCCGGTATTTCCGTGACCAGCTCAACGCTAGCCGTTGTCTGCTCTTGCTCCTTATCTTGATGAGGCTCCTGTTCAGCTGGCTGGGCCGTATACTGTGGCTGCAGCTGTGCCGCATTTGTGACGCTATCCTCAACACTTTGCTTCAGCTGCTCTTCGTCCTCTTGCTGCTCATCTTGCTCCTCTTCTGTTTTGGCATCCTCTTCGCTTTTTTCAGCTTCCTTTTCGGTTGATGTTTGTTCTTGTGCGTCCTGGTAAACATTTGTTGACCCAGCCACTGTTGTTGCTGCCAGCTTGTGGACCTCCTCCAGCTCAGCTGCTGGCACCTGCATTGTGGTTGCCGCCATTTGCTCTGTGTTGGCTTCCGTTTGGATTTGCTCGTTGTAACCATTTGTCAACATTTCGGGCATCTGCTCTTCCTCGCTCTCGCGTTCCGGCGCATCTGGCTTTTCGTCGTGCAGATACTGCTCCACGCTGGTAGCTGTTGTCGTCTCTTCAGCTGAGTTGGTCTCCTTGCTCTCCTCCGATTGGAGCTGCTCGATGGTTGTCGTTTCGTAGCCATCAGCTGTTGGTGCTGTTGTTGCCAGCTGCTGTTGTAGCTGGTAAAGCGCCTGCTGCTTCTGCTCTTCCTTCAAGCGTTCTTCTTTCAGCTGCTCTTGCTTGAGCTGCTCTTCTTTCAGCTGCTGTTCCTTCAGCTGTTCTGCCTTCAGCTGCTCCTGTTTCAGTTGCTCTTCCTTCAGCTGCTGCTGCTTCAGTTGCTCTTCCTTCAGCTGCTGCTGCTTCAGTTGCTCTTCCTTCAGCTGCTGCTGCTTCAGTTGCTCTTCCTTCAGCTGCTCCTGTTTCAGTTGCTCTTCCTTCAGCTGCTGCAGCTTCAGTTGCTCTTCCTTCAGCTGCTCTTTCTTCAACTCTTCTGCCTTCAACTTTTCTTCCTTCAACTTTTCTTCCTTCAACTTTTCTTCCTTCAACTTTTCTTCCTTCAACTTTTCTTCCTTCAACATTTGTTCCTTATGCTGCTCTTCCAGCTTTGCTGCCTGCTCAATGACTTCCTGCTTGTCGGCAGCTTGGCTCGGCTTTAACTGCTCTAGTCGCTCCAGTTCAAATATTTGCTGCTCATCATCTTCGTCCTGCTGCTGTTGTGCATAAATTTGCGACAAGGACAACACGGGCACCCTGTATGTGCTGCTCTCCAACTGCTCAGTTTCAGGTGCGGGCGTATTGATGTAATCAGCTTCCTGTTTGACGAGCTCCTCCTGTTCCTCTTCGTTTCTGCTTGGCATTATGGTTGTGATTTCCTGCGTCTGTTCTTCCGTTGTGCTTGTTATCTTTTGCTCTAGCGCTGGATTCGGCTTCGGCTTTGGCCTCGTCTCCAGCTTTGGCGGTAGCAGAAAAGACGTATTCAGCTGTGCAAAGTTGGTCAGACGATTTGAGTTATCAGCAGCATCAGCATCAGCATCAGCATCATCATCATTCGCAGCTGGCTTGTAGCTCTCATGCTGTGTGATCTGTTGTATAACATCGGACATGAGGAACTGCAGCTCATCCTTTGTCTCATTTGAATTCATGTAGATGTCGGAGACGAGCGTATTGCTGCCATCCACCAAGGTGGAGGCTACTGTTGCCGCTTGAGTTTGGAAATTGGACATCAGAATTTGATCGGTAGGCTTAAGCACCTCCAAATTCAATTGCTCCACCAGGTTTGCTATCATCGGTGTTACCTCAGTGCTGTCTTCATCATCCGGATTGGTGGTGCTGGTGACGCGCTCAGTAACAGGTAAGCGAGCTGCCACTTCGGTGGTTAGCTCGGCTTCGGGCTGTTCATAGTAGCCGGTGGTTGTGGGCTGCTCCGTCAATTCCGTAACCACAGCTTCTGGCACATCGGCATAGAGTGGCTCGAATTTAACCACATGATTGACTTCAGCTGTGGGTCGAATTGTGGTTGCATCTGCTTCAAGCTCGTCATCCATTACCATGGGCGTGGTTTGCAGGAATTGTGTATAGCTGGGCAACTCTGTGGTCTCTGGCTCCACTTGAGTTGGCTCCGTCTTCACTGGGGTCAGTGGTTGCAGTTGTGGTGCTGCCTGATTGGTGGTAAAGTACTGCGGTCTGGCCGTTATTAGCACAACGGGCGTTTGTTCACCTTCCATGCTGTTCAATGTGGTTTGCTTATTGTCAGTGGTTTCGGTGGAGTCGTTCAGGTCTTCAGTGGTGCTGCTGTCCTCCTCATCCAGCATGGTGGCTAAGGTGCTGCCGCCATAGTTGGCTGCCAGTGGTTGTGGTGTATTTGCAATAATTGATGGTATTATTGGCTTAGGTGTGGTTGTGGTTGTGGTGGTTGTCGGCGTCGTCGTGGTCGTGGTTGTTGTTGGTAATGTGGTTGTAGTTGTTGGCAACCTGGTGGTAGTTGTGGTTGTGGTGCTGCTAATGGGTATTTTCTTTTTATTAGCCAAATTTTCCATTTGCTCTTTGCTATCCGCGCTGTCATATTTGATCGGTGGTGCATTGCCGTCCTTTTTATCGGCTGCTAGAAGATCTTGCGTCAAACTCTGCACGATTTGATCCATGGACAATATTTGATCCGCCGTCAATTGTGGTGCAGGCGATGGTGTGGCACCACTCTGCAATTGTTGTTGCAATAGAGCAAGCGAGGGCAATGGCAACGGCGTTTTCTTTAGCTGCGTCTTATCCTCTTCCTGGGCAACTATTGTGGGCAAATTTTCGGTGGCTTCGGCATCGTAGCTGGGCACGGGGTAGAAGGGCGCATGGGTGGTGCTGGTGGTTGTTGTTGTGGTTGCTTTACTAGGCACAGCATTTACATGGCCATAGCTTTCGAAATGTTGTCCATGTGGCTTGTGGGGCTCGGTGGTTACCGCATTATGTACAGGCTTGGCATGGATTTTATGGTGTTGATGCGTAGTGGGTCGTTTCGTGGTGGAGGTTGTGGTGGTGGTAGTGGTGCTGCTGCTCACATGCACTGGCTTGCCATGTATCTTTTGATGATGTAGCGTGGGACGTCTGGTGGTGCTTGTGGGTGCTGCTGTCGTGGTGGTTGTAGCTGCTGTGGTTGTGGTTGTGGGTGCTTCTGTAGTTGTGGTTGTTGTTGCAGCTGGCTCGTGATGCATGGAGTCATGATGAACTATGTTCACGGACGACCCATGATGTGGTGCAGGAGCAGCTTCTGTTGTTGTGGTTGTTGCTTGAGTGGTTGTTGTTGGCGCCTCAGTGGTTGTGGTAGTAGTGGTGGTTGTGGTGGTGCTGCTGGGCTTGGGTTTCTTGTGTGGACGATGTGGGCGCGCTGGCTTCTGTGTGCTGACCTCTTGTTGCTGTGGTGCCGATGCTGCGGTGGCTGGTTCAGCGGCTGGATGATGCGGCTTAGGCTTGGTGGTTGGCTTACGTTTGGGTTTATTCGGCTTGTTGCCGCCGGCAGTGGTGCCCGTATGGCCAGGTGTGCGTGTAGGCTTGCGCTTCTTCTTCTTTTGCGTGGTGGAAACTGGTGGTTGAGTGGTTGTAGTTGTTGCTGCTGTTGTTACAGGATCTGGAGTGGTTGTGGTTGAGGTTGTGGGTGCTGGTGTGGTTGTGGGCGCTTGGGTGGTGGTGGGTGCTGGCGTGGTTGTCTTCTTCTTTAACTTTTGCTTGCTACTAGTGGAGTGAGTGGTGCTGCTGTTGCTGGCATGACCACCATTGGGTTTCTTTACACGATGTGGTTGGGTGGGTTTGCGATGCACATTGCCTGGTTTCTTGGCCAGGTGTTGGGTCTTCTCAGTGGTGCTGGTCGGACTGCCGGACGAGGTGGGCGTGTGTACAATTTCCTGATTGTTGTAGAATACCCGCCGTGTGGTTGCCTCCGGCTTGCGTGTGGTGCTGGGCAACTTCTGATAAATCGGCTGCATGTGAGCGACATCAAAGTCGTGCATATTGGCCGCCGCCTGTTGGTACTGCTGAATGCCCGTGTACACTGATTCGAGTGGATCCAAATCCTCTTGCACCACCTGTGGCGTCATCTCTGTGGTGGTGCTGGGCTTGCGTCTAGTGCCTGGCTTGCGCTTGGCTGGCTTTGGCTTCTTGGTCACACGCTTTGTGGTGGTGGATGCAGCGCGCGTCGAGGTTTCCACGAGCTCCGATTCGGGTGTCATCACAATTTGCTGTGGCTTCTGCTGTGGGAAGATGTCACCACCCGTATTGCCAAATATAGCAGGCAATATGAGCGACCAGGAGGACGAAACGTCAGGCGTATCCAACACGGGCAACACCTCCGCAGAGTTGTTCTTCGACGAGCTGCTGGCCACCTCCTTGTTGAGCACATGCTGCACACTATCCACAATGGCCTGCACCTTCTTCTCGGGCTCACCTGCCTGCTGCGGTGCTGTATGTATTATCGAGGGACCTTCGCCATCGCCATTCGCCACAATACTTTGAATTTCCTGCATGGTCATCAGACGTTTTATCAACTCGCCGTGCTCGTCGAACGTGTAGAACTCATAGCGATCGGGATTGAGTAGATCAATGGGGCTGGCCACCTGCAGCGACGGCTGCGGCTTGGGCACCTTTTGGCCGAGAGCATCCGTAAATTGTGGCTCATTGCCGTCGAGCACAACAGCGACCGAGGCGACCGAGCTGTGAATTAGAAAGCAAACGAAATTCATGTATATATTATCAAGTGCCAGAGCTGACGGAGATTAATGGCAAATGGATGCGATTAAGTTGAGCAAATTATTTTACAGCCAAGTCATGGTGCATATTTTGCGGCGCATTCGTTGGCATTTTAATGGAAATTGAATGCAGTGCAATCGCAGCGTGAGCACAAAAAAGTCACACAGTCACGCTCGAAGGCCACCAGCACTCGCCCCACTTGCATTTGCATTTGCCTAGCTGGCAGTTAGTTAACATAGCGACACGCATTAAGTATGCAAGTGTGTGTGTGTCTAGTACACACACACACACACACACACACATTCGCATAGTTAGGGATTTCTACATGGTACATCATTAACATTTAAGCACGTGAATCGCGCGTGCTACTACATCAGCTGCAGCTGCTGTTGCTGTCTAACTGCATGTCATACAACTGTCTTGCCTGTGTGTTTTGGCCATGATTATGCAGCAGGCAGCTGAAAAATCACGGCCTCACAAATTGCAAATATTTTTCAGAATTGTTTGCGAAACATTTTTTAGGAAATAATTGAATATTCATAAAAAAAAGAGCTCACTCATTTTAATTGAAAGCGAACCTTTTCTACAATATAATATCATAAATTTCAAATTGATTGCTATGGCAGACTGACTGATTTGATTGACGCACAGCTGTTTGGCTATTGGAGCGAGCAAGTGATGTTGGTTCAAATTTTAAAGGTGAAAAATTTGTGGGAAAACGTTTGACTGAAAACTTTTGTCAGTTAGCCAGACGATTGACTTTGGACTGGTCTGAGGCAGCTTAAGTTATGTGAGAGAAATTGAAGAATTTTAGAAAATTAGTATTGAGTGAAGAAAGTGTATTATATATAGCTTCTTTTTTAGAGTTTCACAACTTTGAGTTGGCAACATTAATTTATTGGACAACCCTTTTCACATTTGATAATTGCTTTAGTCAAACTCAAGCTGGGCATTTCATTAAAGATAAATAACACAAGAGGAACGTTAACAAATAATTAAAATTTTTATCGAAATAATTTTTCCGTTTGTCAAGCCTAACACATTCTTAAAGATGAATATTTAATTACGAAAAAAAAACAGAATTGTTTAGCCAAAAACTTGCAACAATTAAATATATATCTTAATTATTTCGCTTTAAGTTATTTTTTACTGGCAAGCGCAATATTGAGAACAATTTTTTTATTTGTTATATAACTATTATAATTCAATTACAAACAGAGCATCTGCTAGTCGTTCGCCTGCTCTTGCAGCACTTTACATTTGTTTATAACATTTCCTTTCAATGCATTGCAATGCCATTTGCATTATGTCGGATATAATGATTAAAAAAAATTGTATTTGACATTTTACATAATTAATTTATTTGTTTATGGCAGCCTGATTAAAATAAGCTAGCATTAAAATTGACTTTTCAACAACAAAAAATAAAGAAAAAAAATTATTTCAAATAAATAATTCATATTTGGCAAATGAAATTAAAGTCTGATAAATATAAAATTATTTATATATTAAAACATTTATATAATAAATAAAGAAAAAAAATGCAGGCAAAAAAGTTTTAGATATACTTAAATGCACAAGAAATATTAATTATTTATAAAATATTATCATAAATATTTAAGCATACTTTTTTAGAAGGCAAAAAAAAATTTCGCAATTAAATCAAATTTGAAATGTTTCAAAGTCTGCAGAAAAACTAACGGATTATTAAAGTTCAGCAAGCTAAGCAAATATATAGTATATATATATGTAACGTGCAGCATCAGAGCCTTGCCACATAAACGTAAACTCTCTTAATGATCATTACCATTGTCATTAACATAATCATTATGAGTCGCTGGCAGCGACAGCTGTTCGTTAACATTATCAAGCGCTAAGCGGGAACTGTTTACCATATGCCGCAAGCGCCAGCCGTGAATTTGTTAATACGAAAACGGGAAAATTTGTGAGAGGAAGCAGCAGCAGCAGCACACAAAGGAAAATGGCAAGAAAAAATATTAATTCTCATAAGCAACTGCTCGAAAGGGGTTGGCAGCGCGGCGCACTTAGCAAGCGGCACTGCTGGCAGGCCCAAGGAAAGTGCTTGAGAAAAGCCAAACTGATTAGCATTGATTTGACCTTAATGAGCACTCAATTTGTGCCTAGCTGTTTGCTTTTTGTTGTTGCTGCCGCTGTTTTTCCTTTTACAATTTCCATTTTCTTTAAAAAAAAAGACTTTTTTGTTTTGCTTTTAAATGCTGCGCCTCTAGGTATGCCACGTGTTTTATTGCCCTTGCGAGCGCTGGCTGGGTTTAGAGGCAGGGGGAGCACGAGGAGCCCATCAAGTGGCGCCTGTTGAGCAAATTAATTAAAATACTAAGGCATTTGGCTAGCTGACCACGCCCCCACCAATCGCCCCACGCACCCTTACCGCCCAGCAGCAGGCAACAACAAAAGGCAAATTCTATTTCAATTAGTGGCAAAAATTGCAAAAACACTGAGCAAACAAAAGACTTTTGCCTAACAACCAGCGACAACAGCAACAGCAACAGCAACAAAAACAAACGCAAACAAAGGCCAAGCCAAGGATCTGGAGTGGTGCACGGGTGGTGCTCGGCCTGTACTGTTAAAAAAAGCCCCAACAGCAGCAGCGGCAGCGGCAGCGACCACGAGTATGCTTCAGTCGGGCGTGCCTGACTAGAAAATAGCCTAAGCCAAATACCTTGAGCTCGCTATCTAACCCACCCACATTTTTGCAATTTTTGCCTAAGGAACTAAAAAAGTATTGAATAGTTAGAGTACCAAGAGTAGAGAGCTGAGCTCTTAAAATGATTGAACACATGATCGATAGCAAGATATGGAAAAGTAATGTCTAAATGGCAATTTTGACTGGATCTACAAGATTACGCCTTATATGTCTATGAGAGATAATATAAGAAGTAGATAAATCACAATACAGTATGTTTAATATCGATATTTATCGATTTTATTGACTGGATTCAGCGCCTTTACGCTTTTAAATATGCGTGTGCGCCAAAAGACAAATGTCTATCAGATATACGAATGAGTTATGGTCAAATAAAACTTGATTGATAGCGATACTTATCGTTTTTGTATAACATGATAAAGTTATCGATCTAAGCATGATATGCCATTGTTTAAATAATAGAATTTTTGCACGCAAGTCTGAAAAACTTGCAAAAAAATATATTTTCAATGACTTGATCTAGTCAACAAAAATCAGATCTGAACTAGTTCCAGTTCCTTATCCAGATCCAGATCCGCTGCCTGTTTCATACGTTGGCACATAATCAATATACCCCAACTCATTCGTTTTCAATGACTTTAGGGTATTAAAAACGCGCTCAGACTGTGTGAGTGTGTGTGTGTGTGTGTAGAAGTGTGCGTGTGTTTGTTTGTGTGTGTGCACTCACCTGGAACCGATGACTTTCTTTGAAGCCACCTCCGCTGTGGTTGAGCTGGCTGTGCTGACGGGTCGCGTCTCCTGCTTTGGCACAGACGCCTCGTATACAATGGCCGGCTGCATGGCTGGAGCATCATTCCTGTGGCTGGACGTGCTCGATGTGGTCAGATAAGTGTAGATTGGCTGCTGTTGTGTGTTGGCATTGTTGTCGTTGTTGTTATAGGCAGCAGCGACGGCTGCGCCTAATGCCAGGCAAAACAGCCCGAGCAGCTGTAAACGCATCGTTTTCAATTCCTAGTTCTAGTTCCAGCGTTGGGGACAGCTATCAGATATCACTGTCTCTCTCTCTCTCTCTTTCTCTGTCTCTTCGTCTGTGTTGACTTTGCTGCTTGGCTCTTTAAAGCTTTCAAGTTCTGCGTGGATTTTTAGCTATCGATAAATTCAGCTGAAAGCAAAAAAATAGACGAATTAATGCAAAGTTACTGGAAATTCAGGCAAATAGCGTAAAAAGCAAAATGTGTTCATTTAAATATATGTATATGTGCTCGAAATTAACATAAAGTAGCTTTTAAAAGGGGCGGGGGCGTGGGGCGGCGTCCGGTGTGGGGCTTGTGGCTGGCTTTTAGGCTGTCATAATCAGGTAGCACAGCCAATTGGCCAGGCGGAAGGCTCAAAGCCCAAAGCCCAAAGCCGCAGCACGCTAATGCGCCTGTAATTATGCTAATAATAACGAGCAACCACACGAGTGTGTGTCTGTGTCTGTGTGTGTGTGTGTGTCTGTCTGTGTTTGTTGCACAGCTTAAAATGCCTTTAGAGGCAGCTGCAACAACGTCTTTGCAGCTAAGCACGAGTTTAGCTCCTCCTCGCACACCTAAACTAAAGTGTATGGCAATTTAGTCATAAGATGCTGGCACATATGCATATGCACAACTAGTTGCAACTTGATGCAGCAGCTGTTGCACCTTAGCTGGTGTTGCCACCCTTTAAGCTGCTCTTTAATCATCCAAACATGTTAGACAGACAGCCAGGAGGACACGCAGGCACTCAGGCAGGCAGATGGCCAGGCAGAGAGACAGACAGGCTTGTTATTTTATTATATGTTAGATTTGGTAGCTTGTGTATTTAGCTTAGTTCAACTGTCAGAGCATATCATTAGCACAAATCTCCCAACTGACAGCAAAGTTTTTCACATGCCAAAACATAAATACTTTGTTGGCAAAAAGTATTTGATGATGCCCTGTAGGCAGTGATAGAGCGGGTATATTACATTTAAAATAAATAAATGTTCAGTGTATGTTGAATAATACCAATGTGTAGTTGAATTGGCAAAAAAAAATATGTTATCGATAACATTCGATACATATCGTTCACTAATGTTACTCTGTATGGCACTCTGTGTGCATAAAACCGGCATATTTAGTTCTTGTTGAACAGAATTGTGGGAAAACAAATCATGTTATCGATAACATATCGTTCACTTATTTTTAACAGCTTTCAGTTTCAGCAAATATTTTAATTTTTTTAATAGCTAGCGCAGTTACTTTTTTATTTGTTTGATAAATTTGTGCATCAATACCACTACCAAGTATCATGTTATCGATAGCTGTCGACAAAATTCACTTATTAGTTCTATTCTGCTCTATGTTCATTAATATAAAACAAATATATGTTGAGTAGTGCCATTTTATGCTAGTAACACTGACCTTATGTGAGTAAACGCAATTATCGATAACAATCGATAAATATTGCACTCTTATGAAAAGTCTAAATAAAAAATTTATTTTTTTGCTTATTAGCATACATATTTTAAATCGAGCTTAAGTTAACAGAATTTATGATTATCGATACCTATGAACATATCAAAAACTTATCGATAACGAAGACTAAATAAGCGATAACCAACAAAAAAGCATTGTAATCGCTCAGTAGGATAATTTAAAGCCTTAGCTCTAGTTTTTTCTTATTGTTTCTAATAATCGATAACAAATCAGGCATGCCCCTAACGCAAGGCAACCCTTTTTGACTACAGGCCAAACGCTTAGTCGTGTTTGTTAGAGCGAAACTTTTTAGGGTTTTGTTTTTAGAGTTTTTGTCGCTAAGCTTTAGCATGTGTGGTGATAACAAAATGAATTGTCAATGGCGCGACAGGCGCAAAACAACAATATGTTAATAAGCGCCAAAATGCTCAGAAACAACAACAACAATAACAGCAACAATGACAATGGCAATAATATGGCCAAAGAACGCGCTGACAACTTAAAGCCTTTGCTGTCAAAATGTTAACAGAAAGCCAGGACATACACATGTGCGTGAGTGTGTCTCTCTCTCTCTCTCTCTCTCTGTGTGTGTGTGTGTAATGAAACCCAAAACTTTTGCTAAAGCACGTACGCTCATATATGTGTTTATATATACATATATATATGGCATACTATAAGCAGCCAAACAATTTCTGTTCAATGCGAAAAAAATCGCGCATAAATATCGAGCAAGGCTATAAAAATATGTTGCGCTGTGTGTGTGTGTGTGTGTTTGTGTGTGACTGTTTCTTCTATTGCTAAACTGTGGGCAAATTAACATAAATTGTGCATAAAATATTTGAGCATAGCATTTAAGTATTTTTGTGGCTCAACACTTTGGGCAGCTGGCGCTGTGGTTGCTTTTACTTAAGGATATCAACGCAATGGCACGCGCTGACAGAAAGTTGGCCAAAATCTGGGCTGTCTGGGGGGGGGGCTGGTGTCCATTGTGAGCTAGGCTGGACCATAACTTGACAATTGATTTGTAACGGTAAATTACGTGAAATGTCAGCAAACTGCTGGTTAACAGCTCGCAGCGAGAGACAAACTGACATTGAAAATGTAAATGAAATGCAGAAGCCGAAAAATAGCTAAGAGCGAGACAGAGAAAATGAGTGAGGAAGAGAGTGAGAGAGAGAGAGAGCTATCTTTAGAGCTCTGGGCAGCAGACTGAAGACTGAAGTCTGTCTGTCTGACTGTCTGACTGCTTGGCATTGTCTGCATGACAATGACGCTGAGTGACATGACAAGTGGACGACGGCACACACACAGAGAGGGAGGGAGAGAGAGAGAGAGCACCTCAACAGTAACAAAACCAGAGCAAACACTAGAAGAAAGTGCGGTTCAGGTTTGGGTTAAGGGCACAAACGAGCACAAGATTGAACCTGACAGCTGTAGAGACAAGGCCCTCACCCACACACACACACACACACACACACACGTTTGTTTAAACAAATCAGCCAGACATTTACATTTTATATACCCCACACACACACACACACACATAGGGACACAGACCGCAAATACTTTTGGGCATACAATAAATCAAATGAGAAAACTGACAAAAGGAAAAAAGGTGCATTTAGATGAAATGACATTTTTGGCCAATGTGGCTGACAGTTTTTGCTTGGCACTCGAGGAAATGTTTAATCGTGCGAGGGTCTATTGTACAGTTGATTACATAGGTACGGTGCCCATTATCATAAAAACTTGAATAATATAGATTTCATTTTAACTGAAATTGAGCTGGAATTTAATGCGGTGCAGACACAAACATGCAAAGGAATAGCATAAATATTCTTTGCAGTTTGAAGAGAACTCTTCTGGCAAGATTTGATCTGAAGGGAACTGAAATTAACATGAAAAATGTAGAAGGAATATGTAAAAGATGTAGACTTGGAAGTGCTTTACTCAAGAGAAAAGTTTATATTTTATCTTATAGATTATTATCTTATATTCTCATACGTCGTAGCTACTTAAGCAGGGTTAACTATGCCTAATCTCAGCTTCAAATCCCAACTGCAATAAGAAAAGTCAAAGCTGAGTAGACTTTTAACAGCTACCACATCTTTAACAATCTTAACAAACTCTTTGATCTATACTTAAACCTCTCCAAAAAGATAGTTAAGCAGTTAAGAAGCAGATAAGATAGAAGTCAGTTAGCAAACGAGAATAGTGCTTGATAATCGAGTGACAGTTTGAGCATGAGATAAATCTTTCAGCAAATAAGTTGGGTGTATTACATATTCATACAAATAGTTCTTAATGTGCTCTGCATTGATCAATGTCAAATCCATTCGCAAAGTTAGGGCTACGAACTGAACTCAAGAGCTCGTCCAGCTGCTCAATCATCTGGCAATCGACAAGTTTCTCACTCCGCAGCAATTGTTTTTCACAAAAGCCAAATACTAATTGGCCTAAAGGAGTGGCTTGTCCATAAAATTAACATGCTAACAACTAACATATTGGCTGCTTAAGACACTCTGGCCGAGAGTACACTTGAGTTAACTGAAAACAAAGCTAAAGACAAAGGCGAAGACAGAAAGCATGAAATAGAAGCGAAACAATTTTCATGTTGCAAATACACAAAGAAAATTGGTTTTTGGGGCTAACCCAAAGGACCAAAAAACCAAAAAGGAAAACAAGCAACAAACAATTGAGCTACACCAACAACACACACACACACATGAATGTGTGTAAAGTTTTGAAACTGTTTTGGAAATGCGTTGACCAGCGAAAATTTGTCACGTTTCTGTTGTGGAAAATTAAGATTTTTAGCCCTAACTTTTCGCTGCCCTTTGACAAACTTCTTCACGGATTTTCTCCTTTGGGCTTGTTAGCCATTGATTTCTCTCTTTTTCTTTTTGGCGAGTTTTATTGGATTTTGGTTGCGATGCGTGTAGTCAATCAGTTGTTGCGTCAAGCAAATTAGATTCGACTTTTTATTTTGGATCAATTTGTTGTGTTTTTACTTGTGGTTTCTTGTTTAATCAATGGTTTTGCTTGGCTTTAAAGCTGGCTAAAAATCTCAGATGCTACCAAATACACTCGTAATTCACACATTGGCAGCCAGTCGACTCTGTAAGAGGTCCCCCGCGCTCGCACGCGGCGCAATTGAGTCTCAGTAACACATAAGGGATTCTTTCTTTATTTCGTTCTTCTTGTTTTTTACCCCCTTTGCGTATACCCTGTGCACAATTTGAGTTGTTTGATGGGGTATGCTAAGCTATGCTGAGACTTTGCATAAGTTCTAATAGCTAAATAATTAGTATTCATTTTTGAGTATTCCTATATGAATAATATAATATAGGCAATATAAATATTTAAAGCTTCTTATTGCTATATTCCACATATATCATAAATAGCTTCTGTAACATGTATTTTATATTCAATCTATATAGATGTAGTGCAAATTTTTTTTAGCTTGAAATATTTCAAATTAAATATGAATTTGATAATATTATTGACAAAATAATTTAAAAAATATATATAAGTATTTTTA